TGGATGGAAGGGCTTAAAACCCCGCTAATTAAAAAATAACCTGAGATCAGCAATGTGATTTTCGGAGCTCTCCACAGCTTTCGGGGCTTTCCTGAGTCAACGTGGGCACCCCAAAAAATTAAATAATTTATCTGGGCTTTCAAAACGAACCGTAGAGGCTGAAATATCTGCTTTAAGGTGTGTTATTTGGGGAGGGATAGAGACCTATTTTGCCTCGAGCAGCCTTTTCTGTCAAGTGTATTTTCTGTGAGCCGGGCTTATATGAAATAGATTCGCCTTGATGAGCTGTGTGGGCACATATAGGTAAATTCGGAGGTAATTGTAATCCCATTACACTCTCCTCGCTCTCCACACTCGCCTAGGTACACACACTTCGCAAAGGCAAACGTATTTCACACGTCCATAAATAAACATAGAGAATACTTGGGCTTTGAATTTGGTCATGAGAAAATCCTGGCACCAGCAGCCGGTGTTTCTGCCTGAAGCATAAGGGGGGGGAAAAAAGAAGAAAAAAAAAAAGCAGCAGATCCTGCAGTCAGAGAGAACTCCTCGGCCACTGCCTTGGAGAAAAAAAAATCTGGATTTAGAGCAAAGGCACCTTTAAAATTTGCTAGTGTGATGCGGAGCCACTTTGAGGGCTGTGGAAAACCTCGAATGCCACCAAATTCCTTGGAAACACCGACTGCCCCCCTAAATGCGTTGACTGCAGGAGAAACATCTCTTACCTTCCACACGAATTACAAATTGGGGTTCAACATAAACGAAAACTGAAGCTATAAAAGGTTTCCAGCGAAGGCAATAGAAACAGAGACAAACCAAATCCGCCCCAAATTGGATCTGGTCGTTTGAAAACATTGCACAGACGAAATGCCTTTTAAATCGCAATAATAAATAAATAAATAAATAAATCTAGGAAACCACGTCTTTCCCCGCGCACCCATTTTAAATTTAACATCCGAAGCGCAAGAAAACCTTTATCTGCATTGACTTAATTCTTTCTTTCCGTCCCAATTACAAATCCAACCCGATATAATCTTTCTTTCGGGTTAACTCCCTCCAAAACCTCTCTTGGCGAGGACCTTGAAGGCTCTTTGTGCAGATAAGTTTGCGGGGGGTTTTGATAACCTTGACTTTGGGCTTTTTGTGTGTGGTGTGTGTGTGCAATTGTAACTCATCTATCAGATAATATAATTTTCTCTTCGGCTGAAGGATGGTATTTAAAAAAATCAGCTAAATCAAGAAAAAAGAAAAGTGTTTCTGGGTTCTGCTTTTACAAAGGCCGGGTTTGAAGGGGAGGGGGACGCCAGAGGTTAGGTTTTGTTGGTGCCACAGACCCGAGGCGTGTGTGCATGGGGGTCCACACACGACCCACACGCATGCAGCCCCGCATGCACACACAACGCCACCCACCCCAGCCATCCTGCTGCTGCTGGAGCCCTAATTATAGCACAGATCCTGACACACAGCCGATATTTTAATCCACATACCACAAGCAAACCACGCAACGCCCTTGCTTAGATCTCAGCAGTATTTTCTACCAACCTTTTTTTTTTTTTTTTTAAGGGAAATCCAAACCATCCCTTCGCACGATCCGCGTTTATCGATCTGAAAGAAGCCTCTGAATCCACCTAGCCTCAAATGAAGGCAGGAGCAAACCCGAATATTCCCATACACACAGATTTCCAAGCCATATGCAACCTCTAACAGCGACAATGAAACGCGTTCAATGAAAGCCTCTTTTGACAAAATCCCAAACTTAAAACATCTGCTCAACACGCAGAAATATTTTTCGCCTTTGCAAACGAGACCTCAATTCGGGAAGAAAGAAAAAGGGAAACAAAAAAAAAAAAAAGAAAAGCTTTTTCCTCTGAGTCTCCCAACGAGCTTCCAAGCCATGAAATGAACCACAGTGCACAACTCCAGCCTGAGATGTCTGTAACTGCAAATTAGGCTCTACACAGTTTAATTTTATTTTTTTTGCCCCACTTTAACACTGAGCAAAAACAAAGACGACCAACTCTCTTAGCACACGGAAATAAAGCATTTGTACAGAAAGCGATATGAAAAGGGGGAAAAAATAATCAGGATTCGTCTGTCTTCGAAAAACACAAAGCCCCCCAAACAACTCTCCTCCTCCAAACAAACAAACAAGCCCCAGATCTTCGCGATTTCAGAGCAAAACCACCTCATTCCGTAGCATTGATTGCAAGGACCGATTTTTTTTTTTTTTTTTGCATAAGTACATGCACAGCAAATTTTCAGCACATAAACAGCGAGTTTTCAAATAGCTCTTTGCCCTGGTCCTTTTTTTTCCAGCTCTATTATATACATTTAAATAATTTAAAAAAAAAAAAAAACACACAAAAAACCAAACCACAACTCAAAACACAAAAGCCAACAACATTTCCAGGAAGAATATTCTTTTCCAAAAGCCAGCAACAATACAGAACATTATTGTGCCAATTTCTGGAGGAGAAGTTGGCAGGGCAGAGAGCACATTACTGCATATTCGCATTACTGCTGCTCTTATTAGCTATGGCTGATTACTAATTGCTGAAATTAGCTACTAGTAACGAAGGATTCCCTTACCTTTTGCTTCATTGTCAGAATTGTCAGTGCTGGTGTCAGTGTTTTTATTCAGGTCTTTCTCTGCTTCCGAAGGACTGCTTTTGGGTGCTGGGGCGCTTTTTTCTGTTTTAATTTCGTTCGTGGACGTGTTCTGAGTATTATCTGTTTTTGTGTTTTCGGGAAAACTCACTTTAGCCACCGGGGGCGGCGGCGGAGGAGGAGGAGGTGGAGGAGGTGGTGGTGCTGGTTCCAGATGCTCATTCCTTGGGTTCAGGCTCGCCCTGGATTCAAAACTTGCCTCAAACTCATTTGGATTGCTGCAGTTTGACGTCTTCTCCATGGAGGGGTAACCTTGGCTTGCTCGGTAGTAGCTAGGAACGGGGACTTCATGGTCATTTAGGCAAGGCTCAGGCATTTGGTTGGGGTAGAGGGCTGTCTCTGTGGCGTTTTTTGCTCTTTTATCAGCGTTATACATACAGCAAACATTCTCTTCCTTGACATTGGTTGGGAAGGAGCAGGATGGGAGCTGTCTTGCAACAGGTTGCTCGATCCTGTACGTATTTTTGGGGTCACACCAAGTGTCTAGCTGAGAAAGGTAAGATGGATAGGTGCTGAGAGACAAGGTAGCGCTATTCACCTCGTCCCTTTTGGAAAGAGACGGGATAATTCCACAGTTCCTCATGACTCCGCAGCTGAAATCGCTCCCAGGCTGCATGTACATCCCTTGGCTGGAGGAATAATTCTCCCCTCTACAGGTACCGGCCAACGAGTCCATCAAAAACGAGTTAGAAGTCACATTGTTGGGACATGACATTTTCAGAGAGGGTTTTTAAGGAGGAATACTCCAGCCAGGGGCTGACATCTTTTTTTTAGGGGGAAAAAATATCAAGCACCATAATTATCCACGCATCGCTCTCCCCCCCTCCACCCCCCCACGTGATGCCCAGGCCAATGAGGATTGAAAATGGCCTTGATGATTCAGACGGGGACGACGTCACGGGGGTCAAGTTGTCGGGACCGGGAGCGGCACCGTGGAGCAACAGCGACATCTGCC